GAGGACGAACGGGGGAAATGGAGGACTTGGAATTGGAAGGATTTTGCCGCCTGGTGTGTGATGAGAACTCAATCTTCCTGCCGATTTATCGACGAATGTCCCGTTAGCTCGATTGGCAGAGCGTTGGGCATGTAACCCGGAGATTGTGAGTTCGACTCTCTCCCGGGGCGGTGGAGTTTTTTCATTTTCTGTTGTCGCTCGAAATTAGGGCTCTATTATGACAAATCTCTCAAGCTCATTGCTTGGTAACAGACCTCAGCTTTACGAGCTTTAAAAGCATAAAATTATCTCGTCTATTATCAATTTCCTAGGGATATTACTACTGATAACATAACTCCAAAGTGTAATTTCCGATGGAATGACCACTTTCCTCTACCCACGTTTTCTGACGGAAGCAACTTCCTATGCGAATAATTATCAATTCTACCTTGTGTTCACCTGATATTTCCTCAAGAATGTGTCTAACATATCGATGTTATAAAAATGGCACTAGTATCAATCACGGACATGATTACTATCTAGACCGCTAATGCCACTCACGAGATCGCACTGGAGAAAATGAATCATACGCATTTAGGATCTGACATATATCTTTATCATTCTCAGGGTATGACCTGTACTTTTCTATTCCGACTGGTGCCTCTTATTTACTTAGTACCTATATAATATGCTACTGTTTCTGCTTCCTTTCCGCATAATCTGAAGGTTGTGTCCACATTCAACAGTTTTTTTTTTGTCGAGGTGGTTTAAATCCTTTATGGACACCATATGGGTCCTATCCTCCATATGGTAGTGTGGGACTCCCCTGAATCTAGCCAGGGTTTACCCACTAAAAACTCCACCCCGTTTGTAGGCTCGTCTGACCATGTCTCCAACGACACTTAGGCCTATGGTGGCCCATTGTATCTTACCTAATGTTCTTTATTGTGCTCACTCCATTATCTCTGTACCTTGAACAAGTCTGTACAAATCCTTCACTGGATGTGAGTTGAATATTTCTGGTTCGCCAACTGGTTGCCCAAAGATCTTCTGTCTTCTGCGGTCCAATGCCTCACATCGGCACAGTATATGTGCTACTGTTTCTGGTTCCTTGCCACATAGTCTGCAGCTTGGGTCGCCATTATACAGTCCCATTCTGGTGAGATGCTCCTTTACTGGCGCGTGGCCAGTCATGAGTCCCGTAACAGTTTTTATCTGTGCTCTGTTCAAGTTGAGCAGGTCTACATTTCGTTTATGACTTGGTTCCTTAATGTATTGTTTCCCATGTCTGTTTCTTGGGATGTTTTCCCAGTAGCTCTTATGTTTTGCCTGAATCCAGTCTTCAACTGACCCTCGTGCTGTACGTTTTGGTACTCCAAGAGTCTGTCCTGGATCTGGCTCGTTGTCCGACCCTCTTCTTGCGAGTTCGTCAGTCTTCTCACATTCAACAGTTTGATGAGGTTGTTTTACTGTCGCAAGCCCTGTTGAAGCTTTTATTTACGCTTAAATATTGATGTTTTCCCAGTAAATTTTGTGTGATTTACTAAATTTTTACAGGCGTTCGTACTGTATAGTTCGACGCGCCAAAGAAGACCGACGATGAAAGGAAGAGGATGAAGACTTTCAATCCGCTGAAATTAGAGTATCTAAACAATTCGTTTCTGCAGATTACTTTGCTTTCATCAAGTCACGAACGATATGACCCACTGCACTTTTGAACTAATACCACTATATCTAGCAAGCCCTTGGGATTCCGTTTTTAAATTGACAGTGAGTTGACGATCGCAACATTTATATTAATCTTCTTAGATCTTTCAATACATGAATCAGACAAATTACAATTTTCATTATACAGGAAACCTTCCACACACAAAATTATACCATATCATTGCTTTCATCCTTGCAGTCATAAATTGGCTGCTTTTCATACCCTTTTCCATAGACTTTTCACAATTCCTCTGATTAATAAACTCAATAAATTCTAGTTCGGATATTTAAACAAATTTTCTAACCATTTCTTGACCAATCACGGACCTCCTACAACCAAATTCCTATCCTTAACTTATTTTGGCTCTATTTCACTCAATATTAGAAACATTCTCAGTAAGAAACTTAGTGGTGTTAATTCAATGTAATATATCTTTTCATCCAAAACTTCAAATAACCTCAGAGGTGCCCTAGTCAATACCAAAAATCCCATTCCTTATTTAGACAAATCTGGTGTATACCTTTTAACATGTTCAGAACCAGATTGTAAGGTGTGTTACATGGTCAGACGGGCCGCAGATTCAGAGTAAGGATTACTGAACATGTTCGTACCATTGACATTAATGCTAAAAAAGATTTCCTTAATCCAACTCTGTGTTTCCTAACCACATCATTATTGAAAACCAGCCATTTGATCCTAATTCTGATCTCAATTTGTTACACTCTTGTCATAAAAGCAAAAAAACTGAACTTACTTGAAAATCTTGAAATTTTTCAAAGCCCTGAAAAACCCTGAAATGACATACATTAATGAACAGACTCACTTTGATTGCTTCAAACTTTTAAATGTTCTGTCCTTCAAAAATAATTAAAATGTATTCCCTTGTTTCTCTCAAAAAGACTGATTCAAAACATGACGTTTCATGTTTATCCCTTGTAATCATTCCAATGTTTTTATAATTCTTTAGTACTCCCACCTCTATCCTTAGTATCGCTCTCATCTATATGTCATGCAGAGTTCTGTTCTTCATTTCATGTCAAGGATATACTATTTTAAACACTTTTTTGATTTTTTACACCATTTGTCTCGTTTTTCCCATCCACTGTTCGACTGTCCGAGCCGAGCAATGTTGTAAATTTTTTACTTCAGAAATAAATCCTAAATTACTTCCTCACTTATGAAAATATTAATATTTTGGCAAATGTGATCCGCATTCAATTGCGGACCCTTCATTTTTATTAACATCATTTTTAATATGTAAATTACATTTTTGATTTTTCATCATGTGAAATATTTTCCCCAGAACGGGTGAGGGTTATTTTACTTTCATTATCTAAAAGCTTGTCTGATGTAGCTTTTTGTCTTTCTTATTGTAGTACTTCCCGTAACAAATTATTTTTGCTGATGATGAAGCTTTGAAGCTTCGAAATATTTCCCAATTCCAATATTAAATGAAGTATAGTTTTGGTGCAGTCGACTGTAAGATTTTCTTTCTGCCCTATTATCTTCACTCCACTGTAAGATGGATCGACTCAGATGATTTATATTGTGCTCTGGGTCCACATTCTTTCCTCCTGTCATCTTTTAGGAGCCAGTCTATACTTTTTGATACTCCTAGAATCCGTCATTGATTGGGTTCGTTAGCCTCTATTTGCCTGTATTCGCCCATCGTCCTTGCCGCCTAGATTAGCTCCGAGGCTATTCAGCTCATTTTTGTAATCTCTTACTCGAGATGCAACCTGACTGTCTGACAAAACATGGATCGGCTCATCTTGGATAGCTCTTCTATCAGTTCCATTCGTACATTGAAAAACAGAGGTGTATTCACTCAATGAGTAGCTCCCTGCCTTTACAACTTGATGGCATCCTCTTCCAAAACACATTGATGTTCAAAACTGCTGAAAATATTTTGAGGAAACTATTATTGTTTGCAAGTTTGTTAACCTCTATTTGCCTGCAATCGCCCAACGTCCTTGCCGTCTAGATTAGCTTGATGCCATTCGGTTCTTTTTTGTAATCTCATACTCGAGATGCCACCTGACTGTCTGACAAAACATGGATCGACTCATCTTCGATGGCTCTCCTATAAGTTCCTTCCGTACATTGAAAAAGAGGTGTATTCACTCAATGAGTAGCTCTCTGCCTTCACAACTTGATTTCATCGTGTTCCAAAACACATTGAAACTCAAAACTGCCGAAAATGTTCTGAGGAAACTTTTAGTATGTACAAAGCATATCAAATACTGCAGGAATTTTATACCATTGAAATTATTTTCTATTATCATCTCTTCATCAACCATTTTCTTTGATATTATACATTCGAAAGTGTTGATGATCTTGAAACTTGATTTAGTTTGTTTTTGTTTGCTTAATAACATATTCACCATTTTCTTGGCCTTTTAGATGATTTGTTTCCAAACGATGCAATGGATGCTTTCCACTTATGGTTCATATTGATTTCTCACAACGACCAATACGAAAGGTGGGTCTGCGTGATAGTCCAGGTCTATTGATTATGATGATGCAAATTTTCTTGTTCGACCATTACTGATTTCGCCATTTGTTTCGTTCAGAAAAGTTTAAATACCATGGTATACTAAAATATTAGTAAGGTATTCCTCATGTGACATCGATCTATTTAATAGATATACTACACGAATGGGATTGTGTGATCCAACAGTTTATATTTTCAAATTATTTCATAACGAATCATCTTCAACTAGTTATGTAATGATCACCTACTAAAATTGATGGAACATACAACAACATGAAGCCACGTACAAGCGATAGTTACTTTGGAACTAAAGCTTCTGTGGTATCCCCTGTTTATTTGCTGTACGCACTTTAATCATATATACCCTTTTTTGTAATTATTTTCTTGGTGAATAAACTTTATTATTATTATATTATTATTATTATAATAATAAACTCATACATTCATAATAATATGTTCCCAGTACAAATTGTCATTTTGAATTCACTAAATATATGCGGTGTGAGTTTATGGTGTTACTAATTTTATATACTACTACTACTGCTTCTACACTAGAATTCTGTGAAATTCAAAATATTAGATATCTACCATATTTCCAGTAAAGGGCATATTAATTTCAACTACCGAAACTATCCTACTCATTTACCAAATAAACAAAATCATCGGCCGAGCAGGTCCATGGGAATGAAGGTAAAATAGTCTTCCTATTAATTCTTGTTCTCAGTTTCAAAATCATTATGGAGTTGAAGAGTGTCCAATTGATCACAAACCCCACATTTATAACATAATTCATTATTTCTACTTCATTACTATGTATAGAGAAATCCAACCAGTTATATTAGACCAGAGCTACATCCAGCTGAAAAACCTAGTTATCAAGGCAGAAAGAAGGATACTGAAGGAATTGGGATTTTGTGTTCATATAAAACACCCGCACAAGGTATTTTTCCAAATCATTCTCAATGCATGTTTATAGTGCTCTGATACATTGGAATTCCGTTCTTTTAGATTATCGTTATGTTCCTGCAAGTACTTGGATTGAACAATCACCAAAAGTTGATGCAATATTCCTGGAACTACATGAATGATTCTCTGAGGACCGACGTTTTCGTCAGGTATCAACCTGAAACAGTTGCGTGCGCTTGTATATATTTGACTGCAAGAAAACTGAAGTTGCCGTTGCCCAAAAACCCTGCATGGTTCTCCATATTTGGATCGACTGAAGAAGAAATTCGTGATATTAGCCTTAGGATATTGAAATTGTATAGCAGACCAAAGGTAAAATATTTTATCTAAAACTATCGAGTCATTCATACATTACTTACTCGAGCTTCAACATCGCCTTGTCAAATTTGAATAAGTACCCAAGTATTCAAATATATCGGCAAACACAGAGTATCGGGCCAACCCTGTAACATCTGCATTCGTGAACGGATTTTTCAGAAAGTTGGTACAGTTATATAAGCAACCAATTCGGATATGATCACATTACACTCCATAATGGTGGACATTCGGTTTTTCTGGAAATGCCAGCAACTTTGTTTTTTCCAATGAAACACGCTGTATATTTTTACGTATTCAAATTCAACAGGTCTAAATAGTGTATTCTTTATGTCAAATGTAATTTTATCGAAAAATTTTCAATTAAAATTGTTTTTTTTTTATTTTACCTCGTGGATGAATGATATGTGGTCAAGGCTATTCACAATCTCACACATATGTTTTTCAAATGGAGCCCCAATGGGCCACCTACATACATTGAGGAACAAAAATAAATATTTGTATTTCGGTGCAGTAACACATTGTATACATTCAATAATCAACAACCAGTTTCATGAATTTCTTTGCAGTTCGAATAATTCTTCAAGTAAGCTGTAGAAAACAACATTTCTGAATATTGGCATAACGATTGCACTTGTTTTGACCTGTTGAACTTGAATATGTAAAAATATACAGGGTGTTCCATTTGGCATTTCCTGAAAAACCGGGGTTTGCCATGTTGGATTGCATAGTGATCAAATCCGAAATGGTTGCTTATATACCTGTACCAAATTCCAGAAAAATCCGTTTGCGAATGCAGTTACAGAGGTGACCCGATACCCTGTGTCACCCGGTATATAAATGCACAATTCAACGTCACTTCTGAGATCAATTGAAATATTTGTGAAACTCAGGTATTGTGATGGGCTTATTTCAAGAAGTAGGTAACTTACATTTTCTCAAAGCAATGAACTGTGTTAATATCTTTCATGGCATCGGGAAGAATGTTATGAAATCTCAATCCAAGAATTTTATATGATTTCCAAGTGAAGTGTACCTTGCGGTCGTCCGTCTCAGACCGCAAGGTCGTGGGTCCGATTCCCAGCACGGGCAAAGAACTTTTTTCAATATTTTATTAACGAATTAAATATTGTAAAGTTTCGAAGCATCGGCTGGGGATAGTCCTGCACGATTCGCTGTTGCGTTCCAATTAACAGTGCTGCTCCTAAAGTGGCGCATGGATTTAGTAACAAAGCCTACACAGAACACGCAGAAAGATATGATGATGTGGTTGTGAGCATCAGAGAAGAAGTAGAACGGTGTATGTAGGTGGGTGTGGAAAACTACCACCTCGGTCTCGGAGGTTAACGTGGATAGTTAGCAGGCCTGCCACTGCGCATATGGTAGTGAGTACATTACTAGCCTACAAAACACAGCTGAAAAACTCTGAAAAGAGAGCTGATGGGCGGTGCCTGAAAAGGATGTTAGCCAGCTCTCTTGAGCGAACCACATCAGTCATTGAAAACACTTGGGGTTTGCAAAAAGGTCCCATTGGGGACTAGTTGCTGACGTGGAAACGTCCCCCACCAGTACCAGTACCAGTGTCCCAGTTGTCAACGGACCGAGAGCGGATGATGAGACGTGGTGGGTCGAAACAGTACTGTCTCGCTTCTACTGACAATTGGGGCAACTCTGTTCATCCTGGATCTCTAAGTTATGAGATCTAGCAGTTCCTGTATATGATATGAAACTGTAGATGATACTCCTGCAATAGATCTAATTATATATTTCTGCATATTTTTGGGAACTGAATACGTCCTGTAGTCATGTTGAGGTTGCCCATAACAGTATTCCATATGTAGTATGGTTAATCTTTGAATCACACTTTTTATAATACAGATATCCATTTGCAGGCGAATATTGAAAGCTTAGAGAAGAAAGTCGAAGATCTCTGTGAAAAGTACAAATCAGCGAGGGTGAAGGTTAGGAATTCAGGAAATAACACCCCGAATAACGATTCCAGCCCTAGTCAACAGAAAACAACTGGAGCACATAATGCGTGGGGCGGATTTATCAGGTAGGAAATTTGTATTTTGCATGACTGGCATCAATAGAGAATCTTACGCAATGGTGAATGTGAACTACGCCACCTAGGTATAATGTAAACAAAACTAGCTGATGAATGTTGGGGTTTATTTGCAAGGTTTAGATAGGTTGAGATAAAACGATCGGTGCATAACAGATAAAAAAAAGTGCCTCAATGTAGGCATAGACTTTTTTATACTGTCGATTTCATCGATATAATCGCTGGGCGTGAGAGCGGGCCAATGCTGCAATATTTTTTGAGAAAATCGCAATTTTCCACATCGATACATCGGCACATTGAAGTCGGGTTTTCCTCAATATTCTCGAAACTGCTCACAATGAGGTATTGAAATTTGGTACACTGCATAAACTTGTGTCACCTAATTAGATTCTGAGTTCAACATTTTTTAAATTTTCAACAGAGGTGTATTATACTAAAGTGGTTAGGGGTAAAAACAATATCATTTTTTAATGTGGGGGTGCAAACATTCAATATCAATGGCAGATCTACTGAAAGGACTATGAACATTCATATGGTGGTTCATACCCACCTTATACTAAATGATCGACACCGCGATTCATTCATAGATCGCTAAAAACTATATGCCATCAAGCGTAAACGCTAAACACAGATAAATTAATGAAATTGCGAATGGTAGGGATTGCTCTGTCATTGCAAGAAAATTGATAATTTCAAATGTCTATGTGCATCAATAAATCAACTCTCACCTATGTAACTTGATACTACATTCTGTAAAGTCGATGTGAGGATATTTGATAGTTTCAATATTTTGAACACGATTTTACCTGTGAAATATCAGATTAGGATATTTGTCACCAACTTTTCTTTACAGATTTGACACTGTGGAACCATATTTATTCACAAAATAGTCTGCTTTAATTCGTTGAAAAATATTATGATATACAGACAAGTCTGTTTCGAAAGTTATAAGGTATTGTAATTCTTTACGAAACTAAGTCCGGTCCTGATTATTTTTTAATAATACCTTTTCCCAACTCTGTTGCTATATCAATATGCAAAAAAACTGATTCGAATACTTTTAGTTCAATGTAAAGAGTGACCCGGACTAATTCGAATAAATATTCATCTGAATTTTGTTTGATACTTTTTCACCGCATGTGACGCCCCTGGATCGAATTTCGAAATTTAGAATTCAGAGTCTTATTTATCATCAAATCTTTATGCCGTACACCAATTTTCGAAAATTTATTTTGAAGGATTTCAAAGTTATAGAGAGAAAATCGTCTTTGAGGTGTCCTATTCAATGGGGCGTAGCTTCCATAGGAACCATTTATTAAGAATATATTTCATGCTTTCATGCTAGAAATACGCCCCTGAAAGAACTTTTGATCACCCTGTATATCAACTCACCTTTAGACTGGCTGGTTAGTCATGACTCAATTTACCTGTATGACTCTTTTTAGAAACTGTTTTGAGGTTAATTTTCCATATCATATCATTAAAGAGATATTGATTGGGATAACTGTAATTTCATTTTGTGAATGAATTGATTCGTTTTCTCACCGTACCTGGGACAACTTCGTTGTTTCTATAACCATAAAATATACGATTACGTATACCAGCTGAATTTTAGTTGCTCTTTCATAATTTTCCCTGCTATAAACATATATGTTTCTTGGGAATAATAAAGATAATAAACAATAATAATATAGTGACACTATCGCAAATACCTACTAAGTACCGTATATCCTATCTATGCAAACAGGATACAGCATAACAACTTCAGAAAGTTCATCATAGATGGAACTAGGAGATCGATTTCGCAACGATCTCGTTAATATGGCAGTTTGTCTCATGTTATTCTTAGTGTCTCAAAAAACCCCGTTTGACGGTATTTAGAATGTGAAGAAATAGGCAAAATAAATCACTTTTTCCAACTAGTCACTCTGAGAAACTATAAATAGTCAACTTCATTCGTATTTCCAGTCGATCAGGAAGCCATATAGCTCCGCCCATTGAGAAAAGGTCGAGATCAAGATCAGCAACACATTCTCCTGACAAACACAAGAAGCGTACAAAAAAACATAGATCAAGGAGTAGGTCAGCTAGTAGGAACCACAAGAAAAATCACAAGAGGAAAAGCTATTCGAGGTCTAGAAGTAACACACCTCCGCCGAAAGTGAAGAAGAGGTAATTAAAATAGTTACAAGTGATGCATGTAGTATTTTAACACCATGTATATTATTTTTCAGGGAAAGGAGGTCTTCGAGGTCACCGAGTATCGACAGGGAATCGAGAAATGAGCGGCACATAGACAGATATGAAAAGTACGAGAAAGAGAGGTACAAGGATGATAGAGAGAGATATTCGGTCAAGGACAAATATGACGATAAAAAAGATAGGAAAGACAAATACGATACGAAATACAGGGACAAAGAAGATAAATACTCAAGAGAGGACAGGGACAGGTACAATAAGAAATCTAAACATAGAGATGATGATAAAGTGGAGAGGTCGAAAGACAGGCGATAAAATAAGAAGTGTTGCATAAAATTGTACAACTTGATTTTATGGCTAGCCAATCTTAAGTTTTTAAATTTCGAATTCTTGTGAGTTAAAACTACATACATTTCATTGTAAATAAATATTTTCTCATACTTTCCTTATGTCTATGACTTATCATGCTGTTTTATAACCAGTAATCAATTCAACTCTGAAGTCTGTGAAAAAATACCTGGAAAGGCACCCTTTTTTTTTCAACAAGGTGGTCTAGTTTTCTACGAAAATTTTGAAAAGTGCTATGAGACTTATCTTGATAAATATACATTCAAAACTTGAATTTTAGAATTCCGCACACTTGGTTTATATGTGGACCTGCATCTACAGTACAAGTCGAAAATTATTACAAGAATCTTGAAGTATAGATATACTAATGAGTAGCTATCCACTGGATATTTTTGAGAAAAATCAATGCATGCATATGCATAATAAAAGAATTACTGCCTTCAAATGAATAACCTTGACGAAACTATTCCATCGTTTGATTTTGTTGAATTTGTATCGGATATCAATTTAACATATTTCTGTATACTTTTGGGAAGATGGTATATCCTTCATTATACACGTGCACAAGATAGTGGAACTGCACATAAATTGGGAATGGCTTGATTGTCATCCATTGGGGTGCTACTCATTTCTATAAAAGTGATATGTCACCATTGTATCGGTGCCTCTAACTATTGTATCCGAAATACAATCTTTTTCGAAATTTTCTGCTACAATTCTCAAAGGTAGGAATTTTTCTTTGAAGCTCTCTTAGTAGCATTTTTTGGGGCAGATCCTCCGTTTTGTCCTTACTAAATGTACAGGGTGTCCCAAACTGGATGCGTTCTTATGGGAACACCCCTTATTTGAAGAGATGGAAAAAATTAACCTAGGTGTCCGGAGCTTAAATTCAATAAGGAAACCACTGGTGCAAACGAGACTTTTCTATCTCTTATCGTTTCGCCGCCAGAGGGCTTTTCTCGAAATTCTCAAAGCACTTTTTTCCATAGAATCTATTGAGATGAGAAGTTTTTCTACAGGGCGTTCAGATTGCTGTGCACCATCCCAAACTCTGTTTTTTCAAATGGACCACCCTATATATTATGATATTTTTGAGAAGCTCGTAAAATTTCCTAAATTTTGGTGTATCACTCGTCATGTTTATCTCAGAAACCATCAGCAACATAACGATTTAAAAATTAAAATATCCTGCCTACAGAAATCAAGATTGCCCTGACTAATGAAATGACATAGGATGCTAACATGTTATAGTTGAAACCACCGATCTAAAGTTTTTACGTAAAGAAGCAGTAGGCCGTGATCATGATTATACTGTTTTCGTTGTTTGACAGCTTCTAAATAGTCGAGAATTGACAGTAGAACTCGATAATGTTCGATATTTTGGTATTTTCGGTAGAAAATAAGTATATTCATAGGGTTTTTGAAGAGTTTTAAGGAATGTATGAAAATTACGAAAAGTTCAACATGCTTGAATGTTACATAGATAGTAACAAAAATGCTCAGGCGGCAGAAAACTTGTATTTCCAAAGATATCCCGAACGACAGCAACCATCCAGGGATATATTTGCTAGACTTGCCCATAATCTCCAAAATTTTGGTTCTTCCAACAAACCTAGAGCAAGTTATGCTCAAAATCGAGAAATTCAAAATGAAAATGGAATAAAAACTATAACTGTATTGGGAACTTTATATCAAAATATTGGTAAAATTTCCACAAGAAAACTTGAAGCAGAGACTGGCATACCCAGAAGCACAATCCGTCGGATCTTGAAAAAAAAAAATAAATTCAAGCCCTATCGAACTCGCAAAATCCATCATCTTCTTCCTGGGTATTTGGATAGAAGAACTCGTTTTTGTCAGTGGTATTTGAATAAGATACAAAATGAACCAGATTTCGCCATAAATTGTATTTGGACCAACGAAGCTTCGATTAGTAGTGCGGGCATATTTAATCGATTTAATGATTACACTTGGTCTCAAGAAAATCCCCATGTGACTGTTCAAAACAGACAACAAGGAAGATTCAGTTTTAATGTGTGGGTAGGAATTTTGAGAGGACAATTCATTGGACCCTATATTTATGATGGACCGCTGAATTCTAGAGGATATTTGGATATTTTAAGGAACCAGGTTGAACCGTTCTTGGAAGATATTCCTATTAATCTGATACCCAGAGTAGTTTTCCAGCACGATGGTGCCCCTGCACATTGTGCAAGGATTATCAACGATTACCTCAATGTGCAGTTCGGTGAGAAGTAAATGGGAAATCAAGGGCCCATACAATGGCCTGCCCGGTCACCGGACCTGACGCCCTTAGATTTTTTTCTTTGGGGTAGAATTAGAGACTTAACTTATAAAAATAATAATTTTAATAGCCGGGAAGAATGAGAAAGGGTGTTGCGAGGTGCGTTTAACCGAGTTCTAAATATACAACTCATTAATGCAGTTAATGCTGTTACCAAAAGATGTAGAATTTGCCTTCAACAAAATGGGGGACAATTTTAACATTTGCTGACATAATTTCATAATGTTTGTGTTTATGTTTATTCAATATCGTTGATTAAGTTCCATATAATTTTATGTTAGGATTTAGTGTTAGTATAATATTGTTGGTTTGTTGTTGTTGTCCTTTGTATTTTGAATAATTATAAATTCATTATGATAACTATGAGTAATTTAATCATGAAACTTCAGATCTGTAGTTTTAATCATAACATGTTAGCATCCTATGTCATTTCATTAGTCAGGGCAATCTTGATTTCTGTAGGCACGATATTTTAATTTTTAAATCGTTATGTTGCTGATGGTTTCTGAGATAAACATGACGAGTGATACATCAAAATTTAGGAAATTTTACGATTAGGAAATTTTACGAGCTTCTCAAAAATATCATAATATATAGGGTGGTCCATTAAAAAAAACAGAGTTTGGGATGGTGCACAGCAATCTGAACGCCGTGTAGAAAAACTTCTCATTTCAATAGATTCTATGGAAAAAAGTGCTCTGAGAATGTTTTTACCAAAATGAATTATCTTCATTAATAAGAAAGTTATGGGGCATTGAAGAAATCAACGAATTTCGAGAAAAGCCCTCTGGCGACCAAGCGATAAGAGATAGCAAAGTCTCGTTTGCGCCAGTGGTTTCCTTATTGAATTCAAGCTCCGGACACCTAGGTTAATTTTTTTTCACCTCTTCAAATAAGGGGTGTTCCCATAAGAATGCATCCAGTTTGGGACACCCTGTACATTGAAACGAGAAAATCTGGAAAAATGAATGAATGTTCTATACTTGCTCGATTAACCTGATCCAATTCAAACAATCGTTTTTTCATCAATGTCCGAAAAACGCATACAAAGATTCAGGTGAAATTCTCGGGATACCTTTTGAACCTATTACAGTTGCCTCAGTTATTTTGAAGGCGCTGTCATGAAGCGAGTCGGGTTGGTTTCTGCACAAAAAAAGCAGTGGATCCCCAAAAATATGCCAAAGTATTCCCCTTCATCAGAATATTGACGTAATTTTCACAAGCCAGTACATTTTCACTAAAAGTCAAAAAACTATACAAAATTCAACTTTATTCTTGTTAACATTACAATTCATGATAATATAAAGTAAAACTATATAATATTCATCAATAACAATTCTTGGACATTGTGTTAATTAATCATAAACATCTGCAGGTACTTCATGATCGGTTGTCCCTCAGGGATCATAATGAAAAAAATCGCACAATTAATTAGACTTTCAATTAGTTAAATTGAATTATTATCCATAATAAAAAGTGGATGATGTAAGAAACTAAATCAAGATTGAATGTTCTTACAATATGATAGAAACTTGTAAATCATTATAATATAATATAAAAATCAACAAAACAGTCTTCTCAGTCATCAAATAAAACAATGAAGATGCGATTCGCCAACTGAAACAAAACAATCAACACATAATAACTCAACAACAAAACACTATTCAAACAAAACAATTGACGAATCGCAAGTAAAATTAGAACAAAACGTTTTATTTGCGAAAAACTCCGGGAGTTTTTCAGTAAAAGAACGGGGTCTGAAGAAATGTATCGCCAGCTCCCATATTTCTCATATTGTTTATTGGAAACCTGTTGAAACGATTCTGAAAGTTCGGTCTAGGTGCATTGCCATCCCTAAAAGGCACAAGTCCTCTCACTGGTAACCCTAGAAATAATTGAAATAGATTATTCACAATGATATTCATACTGTACAAAAAGATCATAATTGCAAATGCTGTCAATATTATATCCAATTAATTCCTGTATTAGAACATTGAACTCTGAAAATGACCTAGGGAATAAAGTGGTATCTTGAATCCCTAGATAAAAAGTTTACAGCCCGACCAACGGGCAACAATCAGACATGAAACCCTATACGTCCGTACCTTGAATAACAGTTATTTGAATCTGTCTTTTGGGACTCGTAAATCTCGGATTATTCAGGTAATGAAATGAAAATATCGAACATCTAACCTGACATCAGCTGCGCACTTCGTAGCACTGGCATAACTACTATATCTAGACCGCTATATGTTTTATCTCAGCAACCTGGAAATCTTGGGATAATGGCTCGTCTGATAACGCTAATGCTCAATAATAGGAGTACTTCACAGAATTAGACATGAAATTTCTTCGAATTAAGTAAAACTCATCTATTATTCCTCAATAAATTCTAAAATTCAATATAAGATATCCGTTTGGGGTACGGCTAGTTTGGAACCAACAAGAAACCTTTATAAACCAAATGATCTTCAAACAATTATAAACATTCCAATTTGAATTAGACATGTTTTCCTCATTAAAATCAAATCTGAATTTGGCAAGAGATCTATAAATTACAATGGATTATTACATTACAATGAATCGCCACCAAGACTTGAAAAAAATATCAGTACAAAAAAAATCGAAAAAGAACTCAAGAAATATTTATTTCTATGAAATTTGTCATGTCATCTATATAGAGATATATAACAAATCAATTATTTTTAATCATTCATTCACTCAAACAAGGATTATCTCAAACTTTAAGAATTACTAGAATAATATTACATTTTGAATGTGATGTAATACATTTTGTTTTTTTAATGTTCCCTGTTATCAACGTATATGTCAATTGTCAACTGTGTGCTAACATTTTCACTGTCACCAGTTGGCGCCAATAAAACGTGAGATCAATGTCAAAGTAAACAATTCCAAAATTTTGCCGGATAGCCCTCAAGTTATCGAAAGACTTGAGCAGACTTACGTTTTTTTACTCTCAATGTAAAACTGTACGACCAATTCTTACATTGACAAAGAAGACATCATAGGAAGGGGCCAAATGACAGGAAAAGAAGAAACATATTCATCAGTTTTAACAACTCTGACCTCATGTTTCAGTAGCGCGGTTTGGTGGACAATAAATAATGTTAGCCCTTATTGTTTCTTGGGAATAATAAAAATGATGATGTCAATGCGTGGGAAGCCTCAAACTGTCGATCATGACAGCTAGTCATGTTTCTTAGTGTTCGGAAACATTACTAAGAGTGCGTAAGATATTCAGGGTAGGTCACTATCTGTATATCGAAAATCACTTATACGAAGTTCATGAAAATGTGTATGCCCATATTTACGATGACGACCTATTCATTCAAAATATTTTCCACTAATAAATGTGATATAATTTTGGAAATCCCAATCGAATTCTTGATATGTCGACTTAATATTTCCCTATACTTATCTCTGAACGTTTTTGAGATAAATAATATTTTATATTTTTTTTGCGGAAAACAGCACCTTCAAAATCGCTGATATTTTCCAACACTCAAGGTATTGAAACACTGAAATTTGGTTTATGGTTTGATGATGACCACAAGTTATCTATACTATAGTCAGATCTTGATTGGTGATAATATTACAGATTTTGAATGCTGATGGAATTTGGTATTCATCCATGTTTTGTTACGTTCCAGACTTATATAAGCATTTATTTGTAAATGCCCCATGAAAATATCATCACCATTCTGTTTTAGATGCGGACTCGCTTTTTGAAATTCGAGTTATCGAAATTCTGTCGAGAGCAACCCGTAGAAAGATAAGTGTAGGGAAATATATAGTATGTAGATATATCAAGAATTTGATTGAGATATCAAGAATGACATACAGGGTGTTCTATTTGAAATATCAAATTTTCTACAATTTTCTCGTCGAAGCGGCAACATTGCAGGATCGAAAATATATTAGATGAATTGGCCATCAACGTTAATACAAGCATACTAATTTTCATGTACTTCCGATACACAGTGTGGGCTCGTCGTGACATACCCTGTATGACAGGTCCTAAATGCGCATGATTCATCACCAATTCGTAAGTGGCTTACCTTCTTTCTTATGGCATTAAGACTGGGTAGTAATTTATGTCAGTGCTTCAAAGGCGCAAATTCGTTACTGCATGGGAGATAATCTTCAGATTTTTAGCTATTCAGTGACTCAACCACGAATAACATTCGAGTTTAAGTTTGTGGGCAGATGCCACCAGCCAGATTTGATTTGGGTACAAAATATTACGGGAGGCATCTCGTTATTTTGAAAATATTAAACTGGACAGTGACTAGGACATGGGAAATTGGAAATTGAAAGGATTATTTGGAGACGTTTTAGACAAGAATGACGTTAGTAACTGGTTACTGTCAATGAAGTCAGGCCTTCATGGCAAATTATACGATGGGATCCATATCATTACATACTAATCAAAATATGTAATTTTTTCTGAATTTCCAAATTATTCCCAAAAATCACCACGCCATACTGTTTCGACGGTTGGTTTTCTGAAAATCGCGAATGGATTTTTATAGCATGACATATGGATTATATGTTATTCTCATTTTTTACAGTACTAATTTTCGAATGAGTAGTGGAAAATGAGGGAAAAATATCATTTCCGTAGGCTTGAGGTCAAAATTTTTCAAGATTTATATTCAATTATTAGTTATTAGAATCTGCGCCATCAATATCCTGCATTGAATTATATATATTTCATTATTCACCTCTATTAAACGTGACTGGGTTCCAGGATTCCAGAAATTGTGCCTTCTGTCTACCGTGATCTTCAGCTACTCTAACATTCAAAGGTAATATTGCATTTTCTATCAACTTTCCATCTAGATTAGCAATAGCCGCCTGTGCTTCTTCGCCTCTAGAAAATCTGAAAATATTCAAAGCGTTCAAATCCATTTATTCATAGATTTAAATTGATTTTTAATATCTATTATAGACCACGTAACAATTTTGAAAATGCTCAACATACAGGTTGTTGTTTGTTTATCGAATCTAACCAAACCGATTTTTTACCATTCAACACGTGTTTCGCTAACTATGTTAGCATCTTCCGGAGAAGATTGAAACTAAATGTTCTATCCTAGTGTACTACTTATATACTAGGTATATGTCCACCCAGACACCGTCAAGTTAATATTTAGTCATGACTGAGTTCACATGTTAACCTTGGTCTCATATCACTAAACGGTACAGAGGGCTAATTGGGATAGGTCCATTAGAGAACATTTAGTTTTAATCTTCTCCTGAAGGCTAACATAATTTTCGAAACAAGTGTCGAGGTGTGGTTTGGTTAGGGGTGAAACAGTGTGTAGTGTATTATCGCGCCAAAGGTTCCAGTATTCGATATATTTGAAAGCATGATTGAATGAAAAAATGCTTAGACACGTCAACTTTAATTTCTAGGGGGACATAATTCGAGATTGATTTTTCATCTGTCTTGGCTTTTTAAGTACGATATTTTCAAACGTTTCCTTCGATATTTCGCAAACTCATCGTGCGATTAAAAAAAAACAGGCGTTTAGTGAATTTAAAAGTTCTTCCAATGAGGTGCCACACAATGCCAATTGCAATTTTTGATGGGGTGGCAGTGGAGGCAAAGTGCATGAAACGAGCAAGGTGATTTTTAAGTGAAAACATGTCCCCTTCACAATTAATCTTTACCTATCTCGGCGATTTTCCGAGAACCGTCTACTCAACGAAATATTGCGGGTGGGAATTTTTCAAATGAACACCCGGTATATTAAGGTTCAAAATTGGATATGAGGCCATCTCAGATTTTTCCTTAGACAGTTATGGGGCAAGTTCAAATTGGCAGCTTCAGAAAATTTGTTAAGTGCTACCTTAGAATGTTCTCAGATGATGTTGAACAATACAGGGTGATTCACATAACAACCGACATAGGGCAGGGGCATGTAGGGGGTCCAAGAATATGGCAATTTAACGCAACTTACCTCTATACCAAGTTGCTTCCCTAAGGAGTTATAGGCATAGCACTCTAACAGCATGTCAACTTGCTCGTTAAAAGAAAACTTCCCGTTCATTTCAAAAACACTCAAACAACAATTATTTAATTGAACAACTCACTTGCCTCATTGTCAAGTTTGACGTTTATTTTCATAGCCAACTTTTGAATTTTCGATGATTTTAAATAACACACCTAGAGCGCGCGTTTTCAGTTATTCGAGTATTTGATGAAAATGATGAGGTTTTTCGAAAAATTACTGAAGTAAGAAAAGTTTTAGAATTGAATTGCCCACAAAACAAAGCAAAGATTTTTGAAATCCATTAAGTGTTAACAAAATTATGTTGAATATTAATGGTGCGCCACCCGGAATACCCCCTTTACAAATTTCAATTGAACTCTAGTTACTTTCAAGTAACGCCCTAAATACATCCACAAAGTGTACTAAATTTGGTTGCTTTAAGTTCAAGAATAACGGAGATATTGATTTTTTTCAAAATTTATAACTTCACTTTCAAAGCCTATATCTCCTTAGGGAAGCAACTTGGTATAGAGGTAAGTTGCGTTAAATTGCCATATTTTGGGACCCCCTACATGCCCCTGCTCTATGTCGGTTCTTATGTGAATCACCCTGTATATAGTATAGAAGTGGCAAGTAATTGTTATTGAAAAGAAATATATTGAGAATTCGCATTCTCTATGTGATGAAAATATCAATTCTTTCTCCAGATAAAAATATGTATATGCACATAATATCATTCTGAATATTCAATCGACATGGATAAGTTTTGACTTATTGATATGTGCAATCCAATATCGCGCATCCCTAGTTATCACCAGTTGGTTACAAGAGCGCGAGCTCTACGTCAAAATCAACATTTTGGCGGATAGCCCTGAAGGCTAAAACCTGTTCTATCAAAAATTTTCTGAAAAAATGGTGTGGCCTATGTATATTAATAGAAGTTATGGTTAGACTTGAGCAGGCTTGCGTTTTTAACTTCCGATTTAGAACTTGACACGCAATTTTTACGTCAACAGAGGAGAAGATATTATAGGAAGAAGCCAAATGAAACGAAAATAAGGAGTTCTACCAAATTCAAAGTTGTTTCAGTGCGATCTGGTGGACAATCAAAATATGTTTGCCCTCATTCTGGTGAAATACCTATATTCGGACTTGCTCATCTATCGAAACAAAGCATAGGAACTCATATCTTGCTGCAATAGTTTATTATACCTATCAGTAGTTTCATAAACCAAGGTCGTCTGTCTAAAAAGATGGAAAATGCATTATCTGTTTAGTTCTCATAGTCACACATCTTTGAAGCGACTCTTGCTGTGACCTATATTTACCGCCCGCGGACTGCTTTACCGCCCGGCATGTAGGTGACTCGTAATAAGCATTCCTGTATAATTCAGGACATTGTTCTAGTTGAGTATTACAGTTGTCTTGCGATTCCTGAGATGCAAAATTATTTGATCGACCTAAAATAAGTTATCTGTCATTACACTAATTGACAGCATATATAAAAGTCTACGCCTATTTCAAATATTTGACTGAGCCACCATGGTAACATTGAATCTATCAATGATTGAAGTAAGATATGGTGTAATTACTGATGCGCTTTTGTTTCAGAAATTTTACTCAAACTCTCAAGAACAGCGAGAGCAATGGTTCCGTCGATCTTCTAATAGATGGCGACATTGCACAATTATGACATCGGTCAATTTATTAAATTGCCGCAGATTTTTCGAATTCAGAGTTAAATAATCCCACTACTACATATGTTCCGCGCACCTAAAATGTCATTTCCCATTTTATTTCCACTCGTCACAGCAGCAATTGCAGCATCACCATCTAGCGGAAAAATGTAGATTCAACATCTCGCTCGATGTGACGTAGAGAAATCATAGTAGGCGGTCGAGTGATTTTTCTTAAGTTTTCAATACGTAAAAATGGCCGACTACGTACACCATCCATCCATCATTATTTTATCAATGCTATTGGTGAATTTATAAACTCAACTAAACTAAGAACTTGAATTAACAATTAGCAATTAACAATTATCAACTATAAGGAGGCGTTTATAAACATCATTTACAGAAAATTTAGAATTAGTTCTTTCATTGTTTCCTGCTTGACGTTTAGAGTAAAGAAACCGTTCTGGGCGTTCTGTGATAAATGGTCATTCATTCTTCACCCATGTTTTTGGTTATGTTATGTTTGATGAAAGGGTTGATTTCCTTTCATATTCATTGGCCTTATCTTGAATCTCCGACTTCTTCTCTTCTTGATGACTCCGGTGGCAAGTAACAATGTAGTAACCAGTAAAATAACACCCATCATTTCAATAATCTCTTCTGTATCCATTGTTAATTCTTCGAATTCACTCACCCTATTATGAACTCCTTATCCATAGACAAGATATATTTCATATTTTCGCGGTCTTCAATTCCTTATTGTCAATGTCAAAAAATGTTATGCCTTATAGCATGCGTTGAATTCATAATTGTTAATTCTTAGTTGAAAAGATGAAAGATGACGATCTCCTTAGTTGTTAATTGTTAGTTTAATTGACAGATACAAGTTTATAAAACCCCAATGGGATTTCCATGTATCCATCTTTCTTAATTCTCAGTTGTTAATTTAATTGTTAGTTTAGTTGAGTTTATAAATCCACCATATTCTTCACTGCAACCATGATGTATTACGCAGGGTATAACATGAAGTTGTAGTCATGTTGTAGCCATCTTGTGGCAAAGCTCTGAGGTAGGATACAGAGATATCGCGACATACACTGTATAGCGCTGCCATCTATAGTCACACGTACAGACCCCTACGTCTATACGCTACAGAGTGGTACTACAAGTAAATCACTCTGCTGACAGAATTTTTCCACCACCTATTCAACTGCTAGTCCTAGATCTCTTAGTTATGAGATTTAGCACATGATGTATTACTTTCGTTCTCGAAAGGTGAAGAGGTATTCACAATGAAAAATCAAATATAACGGTCGTGCATAGAATGTTGTATGTATTTCGGGCGAAACTTGCTTTTATGGACCTAGGAGTATTGATAGCCCTCGCTCGGGCTCTTACTTGAACGCTGCGGAAGGCCTACCTTTCTTATCTATAATGTACCAAGGACGAAAAAAATATCTATCAGTCGAATCTACCAGCCGAAGCTAGCAAGCAAGCATGCGAGGCAATATACAGTTATTGGCCGAGGGGCCTATTGAATTTTTTTGTCGACTACATACCTTTTACACCTGTCAATCTTGATAAATCTTCTTATCAACTTTGACAAGTAGTGTCAAAATTCAAACAATTTTTGTTAGTAACGCGCAAATGTGTACGGGTACTACTTTTTAATGAAATCTGGAACATCATAGGCAGGTTTACACCATACAAACCATGTATGACTTGTTTTTATACACAACTGTACAATCTATCAGATTTGGTAAATAATTAAGTTGACAACAGCAAATGACCGTTATTCTCAACTCAATCGAACCAATTGAATAATTGAACGCTACCTTTCAATTGCATTGGAATATTTGTGTTTGCTTATAATAATAAATCGATAGAAAATATTTGGTAAATGATACCTAACGAAAGCTACTCCTCTTGGCATACCAGTAATCTTATCCTTCAACACAGTGCGTTGTACAATTTCGCCATATTTATTGAATAAGTTGTCCACATCTTTTTCGGTGACATCTTTTGGTAGATTTGTTATGTAAAGGTTGGAATCTTTCATATCTGATCCTGGTGGTCGGGAGTAAGAAACTTTCAAACGTTTATTTCTGAAATGGAGAAGAAAGAATTGTGTAACATCAAATAGACATATTTTATTTTCATGTTAAAGGTCGGTCCTCACCTATATTCTGAGCCCTCAACATTTATGTTTTCAGATTGAATGAATATGCTATAACGTTTCCTGTAATTCTCAGAGACTTGAACTAAACATCTTAGGACAAATACAATTTTTTTATTCTTATTTTAGAGGGTGTATCCAAAAGATATATACGTTGACAACTAGTGTTCAAAAAAAATCTGTCATTGATTCCTATGTAACTTCATTTGAGTAAAATGAATTTATACTTATTATCAATGAGATAATTGCATTTTAGATATCAGTTGCATAATTGTCATTCAATTCATTATGGAAAATATCACCATAGTGAGCGTCTACGCTAATATTGCATTCAAAGCTTAAATATATTGACAAAGTAGGAGGATATTAGGAACGATTTTGACAGATTTTTATCAATTTCAAAAACATATCGAAGAAAATATGAACAATGAAAAGAGTATGCTTAGGTCTCAAGATCATCCTTGATGTCCGCCAACTACGTTAATATTTTCTTAGTGTCAAAACATTAGTAACGTAGACGCATATTACGTTGATATTGACCCTAATAAAGTGAATGAGAATTATGCAGCTGATTCTTAAAAAACGGTAATCTCGAAAACTTTCAAGTTTTGGGTTAATAACAAGTATAATTTATTTTTGTTGAAATGGTGTGTCTAATATTATTTAATAAAAATGGCGTTAACCTAAAAACCAAACAAGTGCGCATTTATGCCACAAGTGGCTTAATGGCGCCCTCCAGAAAATACATTGATGTACTTACTAAATTATGATTTTTCATCCCCAACAACCCCTAGTTTTCTATCTATCCATACACAAAAACGTCGAAGTCAATTGCGAAATAATTTAACTAACTCATTAGCAATATTTCATTAGGGCAAGTGATGTTTCGTCGAACACCTACCACACTTTTAATATTCTGAAATCTTTTGTAGGCAAAAACAAGAGTTGGGAAGTCTTAAAATATTCAAGGTTTTCGAAAAATCTTTTGATGATAGGAACTATGGCGTTTCTTAGGCTACTCTTAAATAAATTGTAAAAACTGATGGAAACAAGTTGAGGATATTGTGTTTTTGCTATGAATCAAAATTCGAATTGCACTATAAGCTGTAGGTCGCGCTCTTCCTAACCCCGCACAAGTTTCAACTTCTAGGGAGTTGGTTCCCAACTTAGAATCAGCAATATGAAGGATTAAAAATGTTACATGACAGAAAGTTTGTCGTTTGCGTTCAAAATTATTCTTAGATTTTTTCGAACAGTTTACTACAAATATTTTTGCTAAGTCTTTAAATCAACAAGATCTCGAAAATCGAACAAAAAATGGCTATTGGAATACTAGTGACTCTGCCGTCCACATGAAAATTTGATGACACTGAAATTTTGAATTTTGTTTTTATATTACCGAAGCAGTTCTGATGAAGTGTTCAGTGTTAGGGTGTGAAAATTAAGAAAAGACTTATTCTCCAGTTTTTACTCCACTGTTGACCGTTTTAGCGTTTTTCTCCTCGCTTTGTCTAGCATTTCTTCTAGCTTTCAAACTTGCGTGATGATATTTTTGTGGGGTGAGTCAACTTTGGAATGTGTGGATTATCTATTCTAACGTCAGCTATCTGAAGGTTCTCTTTTTCTTTTTTTAGTGATTTTTACCGTTTTCCACGACCGGGTGTACTAAGAAAGGACGCCGGCTGTATCTCGGAAACTATTGGCCGCACAGGTTTCGGAAAAAAATATTTATGGTAAAAGTGGCTTAGAAAAATCTCTGGAAATCATTTTCAAGTTTCCAGGACAGCCGCTAGAGGGCATTATTGCATTGGCCGACTCAAAAAACGGGTTTTTATGAAAATTTGATATATCAAGCAAGAAACAATTGTTCCATGTTCTTGAGTTGATTTCCAATCATTTCGATCAAAAAAATTGCGCTAGCTCTTTAAATAAAAGAAGGAGGGAAGGATGAATAGTACTCTGGTAAAACTCTTATTACTACAGTTTGGTGTAACGGAATTAAGCGATCTTGGTCTCATCATGAAGGGGTTTTTAAGATCTTCCCGATCAAACACGAATAAAGTCGATTTAAATCCCGTGATGGCCGCTAGATGGCATTGTTTGAAAAATCAGCCGATTTGCCATTTTTTTCGAGAATTTCAAATGGAAGGAGAAGAAAATTGGTGAAAACCGCGAGTTGATACCTCTTGTAGAACCGGAGAAATACTCGGAGTAATATTAAAATTTAAACTGTTAGCATGTCAAATGCCTCCTCATACGTTATCGGCATTTTAACAAATAAGCAATCCACAGTGAAAACTTCGAATGGAACTTCAATTATATTTTGACGTTTCTTCCATTCAAAGCCAACTTGCCTGTTCTCATTCCTGAGCCTATACTCACTACTTACATTTCAATTAGTTATGTCATCACTAAGAGTCTCCTTCACTATTGTGAGATATAACAGCAGTGTGTGAAACCAAAATAAATGAATTATTGAAATCATAATTTCATAGATAAATGAATATTTCTGGTTACGATTATTGAAATTAGATTCCTGTGGTGAATATTTTCATAAAATATTATTTCGAGTATTTCACCGGTTCCTCAAGAGGTATCAATTCGTGGTTTTCACCATTTTTCTTCTCGTTTGCTCTACTTTCATATTAGAGTAGAATGAATATATGATTCCATTTGAAATTTTCAAAAAAATGGAAAATTGTCTGATTTTTTCAAACGATGCCATCTAGCGGCCACCACAGGATTTAAATCGACTTGATTCGTGATTCATCTGGAAGAACCAAAAAAAACCTCCATAATGAGACCTAGATCGTTGAATTCCGTTACACCAAACTGTTGTAATGAGAGTCGTTTCAAAGTACCTACTATTCATCCTTCCCTCCCTCTTTCATTTAAAGAGCTAGCGCTATTTTTTTTATCGAAATGATTAGAAATCAACTCGAAAAAAGTGTTTTTGATATGTCATGATATATCAAATTTCCATAAAAACCCGTTTATTTAACTGCCCAATGCAATTACGCCCTCTAGGGGCTGTCCTGAAAACTTGAAAATAATTTCCAGAGATTTCTCTTGGCCACTTTCATCATTCATATTTTTTTTTCGAAACCTGTGCAGCAAATAGTTTCCGAGATACAGCCGGCGTCCTTTCTTAGTGGTACACCCGGTACGTGCATGTGTTAATTTCCATGTCGAACGATGACTATTAATTACATCACTTCGTCACCGATTTTTGAATCATTTTTTTCTGAATATTAGTGATAAGATCCAAATAAGAACTTATTCAACGTGATTCATCTCGGATCTAAGAAACATCAACTTTCTATTCACTATCAAAGTTTATTTGCTATCCCAGTATGCGAGTCATTATCTCTGGATCAGTAGAATTTTGGTCGAAATATTCTCTCCGATGGTGCCATTGGATAGTACATATTGAGCCTTCTTAGGGTTTTGATGGATTTATTCGATGACACCCTGTATAACTTCAATAATGGCACTTTCAAATACAGGGTATGTCACGACGAACTTATTACATTATCTTCATATCGAGAATCAGTCGCAAGAAATTTATGAAAATGTGTATGCTTATATTTGAGACTATGCTCTTATCGTTTGTGAAATAATTTCGACAATGCAGTGTTGTCGCTTCTACTAGAAAGTAGTAGCAACTTTGATATTTCGAATGGAACACCTTGTATTTCATTGCATTTTTGGATTCTCCATGAAGAGCTGATTTTATCAAGCTATCTCACTTGGAGTCTAGCGGAAATGATAACAAAGATGAAAGGTGTTCAATTCGAGATTTTTCAACAAGAGAGCGTTATCTCAAATATGACCATTTTTTTATGTTCTGGTTCCCACGAAAAGGGATATCCTGTAATGTTCAGAGAACATCGTGCGAACCAAGGGAAATAAGCTAGGAATTGGCGTTCTTCTCAAATTTCTGGAGGTTATATGCTTCGGGAAACACCTCCCTTGGCAATGTGTTCCAGAGCCTCGCTGTTCGTTGGATGAATGAGTCTTTGGAAAGAAATGTTCTGCAGGTCTCCAAAGTATGACCACGAAGGGGTTCGAAGCCCCAACTCGACGGGTTAATCTCGCGGGGACTGCTAAGGAAGGTACAATTGAAAATATCTGTAAAATAAAGCCAGATCGTCAACTTTTCTACGGTGTTCCAGAGAAGTGAGTGAATTTGTGAGCGAGGCATCACCATGTATATTTTCATAAATTTCTTGCGACTGATTCTCTCGATATAAAGACATATTGTATAGTTTTGCGTTTGTGTACTACTTAAGAGGACATATTCCACAGCGCCTCCGCCAATAAAAGAGGTACCGCTCCCAAGTTCCCCTATGGTTATGGATCATCCAAGAGGCTCAATTTTTTTTTCCTGGGTAGTCAAAGGTGCAATCGATGCATCTTATCGAATGGATTCTCATTTTTTTACATAGACTAATTTATAATCACCTGTAAAGTAGTGCGTTTTTGACCGATTTTGTGATTTTTTTTCTACGTTTTGGAATCAAAAATTGAAAATCTAGTCGATAAGATGCACAGATCAGATGTAGTACTCTTCAAAAATAATTTTTATTTGCTGAAATCTCATTTGGTTTTCGCATGGGAAATTGGGAGCGGAGGCACCGTGAAGAAGAATTTTCCCTGTAGGCGCGGCACTTAACAAAAATAAGCTCCTCCCATAAAATTCGAATTGATTGATAGTCAATGGTCCTATTATTTTCACGAAATAGTCTGCGACCCAATTTGTCTTTTCATACAAAGAAACTATTTATATTTCGTTCAATAAACCTACCAGCCTTATACCTGATATATTATAAATATAGGTATCATGGAATCAACAAGGCAACTGTGTTATACCTACTCAGTTAATAGATTATTTCTAATTCTTCGAACACAGGGAAGTGCTGGAATGTT